CTACTCTTCTTGTTTTCTCTCTGTACCCTTCCCACCTGGTCTCTCCCTGGCAAGTGTATTTGCCCTCTGACAAAAATTATACAGGTTTGAGAAACAATGAGAAGTCCATCTAACAACTTCCTTCACTCTATACTTGCCAGGTTAAATCACTGTCCTGACCTCCAACACTCTCACAGCCTAGTTGGAGAGAAACACCAGCACTTAAGCATCTTTAATCATTGTTACTTCAGAGCAAAAACATATTATTGTCACCATATGGAAACAATGAGAATGAGGGGGTCAATTAAGACCTGCAGTGAACATTATGTTTCACCGAAGTCCTTCGTATTGGTCAGAATTAATCTACAAGAAAGAAATGTGGGGACCAGCAGATGACATGGTTAGGTTGCTAGACTTCCATGTAGTTGACAGAGGTTCAAGTCCTGGACCTGGCGGCTTAAAACTCACACCAGGCGCTTGTGCATGTGTCCAAAACTGGAAGAGAAGAATGAAGGAGAAGGGATTGTGATATGGCCATCCGCCCTGGGGGGAGGGGGGAAATTTCTCACTTCTGTCTCTCCAATGAGTGCCCTATAACAAAAGTCTCTCTCTAAAAAAAGGGGCAAACGTGAGGTGGAAAGGAAGGATAGGGTGTACTAGCTATACAAGAGACTGGTTTAGCAGTCAGAAAAGTTGTATTCTAGTCCTGTAAATCCTTACCACAAAAACACTAATATGCTAACTTCGTGGTGGATAGAAGGATCAGTTGCTTACAGTTATTATTTATGTATTTTAGTACCAAACACATCCAAACGCTGTGCAAGACATGGATAAAAACGTTATAAAGTCCTTCCTATGTGCGAAAGTGCTAAGGGTAGCAAGATAAATAATACATGACCCTGTCCTCAAGAAACAGAGTCTACTGGAAAGAGACTTAACAACTTTACAACAATGTTGGAGACGCTGAGACTCGAGATCTTGATTTCTTCAGTTAATACAAGAGGAACCAAGGCTTTAAACTCAAATCTAACTCCAAACTCTGAGCTCTTCATCAAGAGGACAGAGTGGAGAAAAGAGGAAGCAGCAGGGTATGAAGCAAATTAAGAAACAAAAATGTTCAAATCGAACTCCAGAACGCTCAGGATTAAGCGGAACTCTAAGACCCAGCCCCTCTTCCGGTGGGGAGGCGGGACTTTTCGTCAAGTGGGATCAGTAGGTGAGAGGCGTGGAGGTGAGGTACTTGAGGTGTGGTTAGAACCTTAACTTGTCTTACTGCCAACCCCTTGCCTTGTCCTTTTCAACCCTGTCTTGGAACCTGGCAGTTCCCTCCCGCCTCGGGGGAATCGAAGGAGCACCTTTGTGGCCTCAGGCTGCCGCTCTCCGGGGACCGGACCTGGGACGTTCGCCTCCCGCGAGTATCGGTGCGCAGCCGCTGAGCTGCCATGGCTCCCGGGCCGCTGGGGCGTGCCGCAGCCACAGGGCCCCTGGGCGGACGTCGCGCCGGCACCGGTCCTGGCTTCCTCGCTCCTCGCGGCCTTACAAAACAGCAGGAGCAGTAGTAGTGAAAGGACGCGACCCAGCCTGGCGCAGCTTTCACGAGCTAGCCCTAGTGCGGGCGCAGCCATGTTGCCCTGCGAGCCATGTGACCCTGTGAGTCACGTGGCCCCGCCCTTCTTAAAGGGTCCGAACTTTGGGCTCATTTACGAAGTGACGGTGAGCAGTGCTTTCCCCATCTTTAGGTAATTATTCGGAGCGCTCCTACATAGACAGTGTCAGAGCGCAACAAAACTACAGAACTCAAGGGCTCCTATAGATCATGTGCTCCTTTATGATTTCAGTCAAATCAAATGTGTTGAGGATTTGCCAAGGGCCAGAATACTGATTCTAAATAAGCACTTTATTTTTTAAAATCTCATTTAATCCTCGTTCTGACCCTATAATATTGGGTTCCCAGAGTAGTTAAAAATGTGCTCAAGGCCACGTGGCAATTAAGTGTCAAAAAAGAGACTTAAGCTCAGGCAATCTACTTAAAACGCTGCTTTAAGCATTATGCTCTATTGTACACAATGTAGTAAGTTATTTGTAATAGGAGGGAGAAAGATAAACATGTCCAGGGGACACTTCACCAAGAGATTCAGTTAGGGAAATCTAGACTGTGGAATGTGGTTTCCAAATGTTCCAAGCCGGTAACCTCAGCATTATCTGGGAAATTGTTACAAATATACTGAATCTGAATCAGGACACAGAAATATATGTTTTAACAAGTTCTCCGAATGATTCTAATAAACTATTAATATAATATTTAAGAACCACTGTTCTGCAGTTTTTATAGCAAATGAAATGCAAACCAAACTAAAAATATGAAGGGGAAATGATAGATTTTTTTTTTTAAGTCCATAGCAACCAATTGCAATATAAGAACCTTACCTGATTCAGATCTACTGATTTCAAGTTTTCTGAGTTAATCAGGGAAAAATAACTACTGAATTAAATTGATATTTTGTTAAATTAAGGAATTATTGTAATTTAATTAAAGTCTTTTAGGAACAATAATGGCATAGCTACTTTTTTAAAAAAAAAAAAAGAATCCCTTTTTTAAAAATTAATTTCTTATCTGTTTGTTCATCTCGAGGTCAAAATCATCAATTGCTCTTAGCTGCCCACAAAGTACAGGACACCATGTTAGACATGTGTGAAAGGAGCGCTTGAAGAAAATGTTCTTTGGTATGTTCAAGAGAATCCCTTTCTTTGAGACATGCATAGATGAATAGATAAAAGATTGCTGTCAAGGATTTGCTTCCCCAAAAAAATATCAATAGGTTAGGGAGCATAGCTAAAGATGAAAGATGGGCCATGTTGTTGAATAATTGTTGAAGCTGGTTGATGGGTATCCAGGTGTTTACTACTCCCTTTACTTTTATATATATATATATTTTTTTAGAGAGAGTTTTTTGCTATAAGGCATGTGTGCTGGCCGGAGAGACAGACGGAAAGCAGGAAATTACCCCTGAGGGGGGATGACCACACTGCAATCCCTTCTTTTCCATTCTCTTCTATGGCTCTTGAGCATGCACACACACATGCCTGGCATGAGTTTTAAGCCCCTGGATTCGGGACTCGAACCACAGTCAACTACATGGGAGTCCAGCAATGTAACCATTACACCATCTGCTGGTCCCCTGAATTTCTTTAATGTTAAAAAAAAAAATCCTGTGTCCTTATTGATTGTGTTATAGTTTGTCAAGAGCTTTTACACATTTTCTCATTTGAGAGTTTAACCAGTTAACAAGAAACATGTTGTTACTCTACCCATTTCAAAACTGTTAAGGCTAAAAGGTCAATGCCTTAACCAAGATTTTATATATTTACTGTGCCCAATATATAGTCCAGAGTATGAGTTGAAAATAATCTGTGGCGGGGGCAGCCGGTGGTGTGGTAGTTAAGGTCCTGGACTTCAACATGGCTGACTACTATTCAAATCCTGAACCCAGCAGCTTAAAAATCATGCTGGGCACACGTGTGTGCATGCCCAAAATCACAAGAGGAGAATGGAGGAGAAGGGACTGTGGCATGGCCATCCCCCCTGGGAGATGATTTCTCACTTTTCCTCTCTCTCTAGCAAGTACACATGCCCTATGGCAAAAATCTAAATATATAATCATCATCATCATCATCCTTGTTCCTTTTACTTAAAAGATTAGTCTCTGGTTAACCCCATAGCACAGTGCTTAAGGGAGCTGTACCTCACATGGCCAGCACAATTTGAATATCAGCTTGAAGATTAAAAAAAAAAAAAAGAAAAGTCAACCTTGGCACAGGCTACATTGGCAGCCCTTTAGAGATGAAATTTCTTTGATTCCATGAAGGGAAGGATTCTGCCTGTTTGTTCATTACTGTATCTGTAAAATCAGGCAGAGGCCTGGCACATGAAAGGCACTCTGTGAACATTCATTGAATGAATGGATGAACTAATGAATAGTTATTACCTCTTTTTTTCCCCTTCAGATATTTTTGCTATAGGGCATATATGCTTACTAGAGAGACAGACAAAAATCAAGAAATCACTCCCCAGGGGGGATGGCATGCCATAATCCCTTCCCCTATTCTCCTCTCTGGATTTTGGGTGGTAATATAGACACACCCCATGTGAGTTTCAAGCTGCCATGTCCAGGACTCGAACTTTGGGAGTCCAACCCTTTAACCACTATGCCTCATGCTGGCCCCTACCTCTTTAATTAAGAGGATGCAAACTGTTGAGAAAATGACATGGGTTTTAGGCTTGGAAAGAGCTGGGTTTACACTTACAACAGATATGATCTAGGCAAGTTACTTCATCTTTCTGAGCCTCTATTTCTTCATGTGTGAAGAAGGGATATTAATTTCTCCTTCATAGAGATCTTATGAGGTTTAAATGAAATAAAGCATGATTAGCCCAATGCCTGCCATTTAATTTATCTCCAAAAAATGGCTGCTATTAGCAATCATTATCAAAAATGAATTTTTGTTGGTTCTCTAGGAAAAGTATTTTTTTCTTTCAGCCAATTATATATTTTTGGTCACTAATCAATAAAGAAGTGGAAAATATTGAATGAGAATCCCTAGGTAAGGAGGGCTGTGCTAGAATTTCAAGTTAAAAGTACTACTCAGTACTCAGTTCTGTACAAAGCGGTTTTCTAGAATTCCCCTCTTCCTCCATCTCCATTTGAGGCCCTTTTGCATTTTGTGCTCATCCTTGCCTCTTCCATTAATGAAGGTCAATGAAAGACCTAGTCCTGAAGGAGACTTAGTGTTCAGCTGAATAGTAAGGAGGCCAGCATGGTCTGCAATGGAGTGATCAAGGTAGAGAATAAGGCAAGAGAAACCAGAAAGGTAACTGAGGGCCAGATTATACAGGATCTGGTAAGATTTACTCTAAATGTAAGTTGGTGCCATTGCACAGTTTCAAGGAGACACCCGACACTTCATGCTGAGCAGAGTCAGTTTCCCTGCCAGATAAAAGACTTCTCTTCTTGCCTGTTGGTCCCTGAACACAGGAAACTCAGCATGCCCTGATGGCATTCATTGTTTGTTCGGTGTGACTCTTGTGTCCACCGGAAGAGAGCATTCCTTTAGGAACCAGGACCTTCAACTCTTTAGAGTCCAACATTGCAGTGGTGGGGAGAACAAAGTCCCCCATGGGTCAGTAGGAGTGATAATAATTGGGGCTACATTACTTCCACCCCTGGGTTCCCAAACCCAAGTATTCTTCCCACCTGGAGATATGGTACCATGTAGATGTCTCTGATTAAATGCATATACTGAATCCTTATGTTCTAGATGGCCCTGTCCTTGCAGAGGATCACCTCCAAGTTGGCATGTCAGCTGTGCCTTCAGTAAGGCACTCCTACCTTTTATTAGGCCAGCTGTTCCTGGATTTTATGGGAAGGATAAAAACCACTGGATTCCATGGCCATGGTCTAGCCCTGCACCTTCTTCACTGTGAAACAGGTCAGATGATGTGTTGTGTGGGAATCAGGCATTCTGCAAGGTCCAGAGTATGGTGCTGGCTGTGGCTCATAGAGCATGAAAGGCATAGCTTGAAACTTTATTCACTCATCAGGTGAGGGACATTAGCCAGTTTTTGGCTGTAATGAATAGTGTTGCTAGAAACATTTATGTACATGCTTTTGCCTAGACATATGTTTTCATCTTTCTTCAGTATATAGTAGAAGTGTGATTGCTGGACCATATGGTAACTCTCTGTTTAACCTTTTGAGAAACTTCCAGATAGTTTTCTAAAGTGGCTGCACCATTTTACATTCCCACCAATAATGTGTGAGAAGTCTGATTTCTTCCATGATGCGCTGGATCATCAGGAAAGTCACAATGTATTTCTTCGGTTTTTCTATGCAAAAAGTGTCATGATGTTTT